CTGGGTTGCTATGAAGTTACTCTCTGCTAGGTTGCGACGGCATCCATCGATTGACGCACAAAATGACTGACTGACTGACTGGCTGGCTGATTCTGGTGACATTAAAATTCCAAAGGTGTCAGCAGCAAACGCAAAATTATCATTATCCATTATCATGGCCATTGTGTGTCGAAACAGCTCATACTGGTTTGACATTGGGCCAGGCCAACATAGCTGGCTGACAGAAAAGTTCTCGTAGAATAAACAAAAAAATAATGAGAACTGAAAGGCAAGACGCCATCCTTGAATAGCAACGTCTTTCATTTGATTGCATATCATCCGGATTTCGAATAAAATTCGGGCTTAAAACTTGCTCGAATTCAGAGAGGTATAAAACGAACTTCAATATCAGTTCGAGAATAAAGATTTTGAATAACCTTTCAATGTCTGGGCCTTTAGCAGACTTTCTCACAAACCATTCCAAGCAATCTCCATCAATATACTGAATAAAAAGTATATACTACTAGCTAAACACACACACACACACATACAGACATCACGCATGCATACATAGAGACCTAGCAGCTCCGTAGATTAATTATGGAAATCGTAAATCGCACAGAGGCCAGCCACAAGTCAACGCAATCGTTGCGGCACGCCGGCAACCGCGTCATCGTAAATGTACTGGAGGGTCATCGTTACAGTTACCCGGGTTATCATCACAGTCCTTCTTCTCGCCCGTTGGCTTCGAATTATTCAAATTGACTTTGTGCTGTGGAAACAAAATCCTCTCTACGCTTCGCCATGGTTTCTATTTTGCTCGCAGTTGCATCATTTGCCAGCGATTACGGGCGCGATCTTTGATTTTTAAAATGTCAAAAGATCAGAAAATATTAAATGGAATCAACGAAAAGGCGAAGGCGAAGGCGAAGAAGAGAAGTTGAACAGCAGTAGCGGTAGTTCGTGTTTGAGCCGATGAAGTCGTCATCGAAAGTAAACATATTGAAGAAGCTTTTTAAAAATAAAACAAGTAAGCAAAGGCTACAGTCGAGCGGGGCCGACCGTTGAATACCCTACAACACTATAATAAACGATACAGTTTATATAGGCGAGATACTCGAAAGAATTCCACAAGATATTGTGACAAATAATAAAAGAAACCCATTAGGTTTCGTTCTCTAATTTTCGAATAATAGCAACTTAAACTAATTTAAATGGTCTTCCTAGATCTGGAACCAATATTTTCCAAAGACCTATAATCTCTCAGAAGTGGCAAAAGATTAACATTTATTATTGGTTTCTGACTGAAACGCATCTATATGAGATACAGACATTTGACTATATTCTTCAACGAAAATAAAAATATAGCGATCATCTCCAAAAAGAGTAGACTTCTATTCTGACCCTCATCTTATCCCCATGCAAAATTTCGTAAGGATCGGGCCATAAATGCGATCTGTATATGATATCCTGATATCCTAACTACTTAGTTTTGTTAGCTGTAGAAATATTACCAAATGTTTAATTCAAAATGAAAATATGCCAAAAATATGAAAAAATTAAAAAAATATGAGAAAATTTTAAAAAATCAATATTTTCATCTTCATAGAGATATTTTTATGCGATTTTTTTAGACGTTTTTTCTTTCCTACCAAGAGGTCATTCTGAATTAATGAGAACTGTCGAAATCAGTTCAGCCGTTCTCGACATATAAGAGATCTTTCAAGCATATCCTCTTTGTTAGACATATATATCGCACATATTTTGCTATATATCCGATTTGCTGGATGTTAACATCAATGTAAAGGTCAGAAGTAACCTTGTCATGACTTTGTGATTTCGCCGGTATTTAAAATATTCGCGGTTTAATGAAAAATTTTGGAATTTTTTCAACACAAAAGGTATGGTCTATTTTACCCGCTACATGCGAAATTCCGCGTCGATTGGTCTATAATTGCGACCTGTATAGCTACTGCAAAATCCGACATTTTTTCAGTATTTGGTCCATTTCAACCCCTAAACATTTGACGATCATCTCCAAAAGAAATAGGCTTCTATTTTGACCCTAACCCCATCTTCGTGCAAAATTTCGTAAGGATCGGGCCATAATTGCGACCTGTAGAGTGATTACAAATTAACATGGACAGACGGACAGACGGACGGACGGACATACATAGCTAGATCGACTCAGCTCGGCGAGCTAGGAAGATCCATATATACTTTCCTATATGGGAAACCAATATTTTGAGGTGTTACATAAATTCTGGCCCAATCATACTTATAATACCCCCAACACATAGTGTTGTAGGGTATAAAAACTCGATTGTTGAAATGAAAACAAGACAATAAAGAAATCCCATTTGGAGTATCACATATTTTTGGATGGATGGTGCTAAATTTTAACGGGTACCCCACTGGACTTAAAGTATCGCGGATAGTTAAACCAAACTGGAACACATTCCTATTGAAATTCTTAAATTCATTTTCACTCTATGCATTTATAAAAAAAACTAGCTGCGCCCAGTTAAGAAAAGAGTGACTTAGAGACGTTAAAACGGAATGAAATAAGCGTTTTTGAATATGTGTTTGTGTGTTATAGGGTGCCCTTGGTCCGAACACGATCAATTCCATGAATATTAATTGCCAACATAACCTTATCTAGCAAAAAATCTCATAATCAAATAATGAGCACAAACTCTCAACATTTTGTTTGAGCATCGCTGTTAGTATCCGGAGTGGAATGTCCTTAAAGCTATCTTCGGAAGCCAGATATCTAGTCTCCATTTTGGACTGTCAACTAAGATGAAACAAAACGTTGCGGAACGGACTCTACTCCTGCAAGAATTAAATAGGAAAGAGCTGGGGCCTCCCTCCCACAGACATACACTGGATTTATAAAGCTGTGGCTTAGCCATCCTTTGTTATGGAAGGAAGTCTTGCCTGGTGGCACGCATTAAAACACAAGGTAAAAGCTCGCAACTCTCATGCGTACAGCGAGCAGCTTCAAATCTAATCACAGGCGCATAAAAAAGCACACTGCAAACAGCCTTTAACATCGCTCCGGTCGAATTTAGTACGCAGTATCTTGATGCACGAAGTACGATAAGGCTGTAATGTTCTAAGACATTCTAAGTCCTGAAGTAAACGTCGACACTCATGAACGGAACAGCGCTTACATATCTCCAACATTGAGGTTTGACAGAATCGAAATACTGTTTCCATGCAGGGATAAATGGAACGGAGCCAACCTACCTCCAATTGGTCTGCCAATATATACATATGGATCAAAGATGGAAGAAGGCCCGGCAGCCTGAGTACTCTGTGAGCAACTAGGAATAGCCTGCCCCCAACAGTAGGATAGAAAGTGCAGTGTTTTTTGACACTGATCTTTGGGATCATACAAGGGGGAGATTTTATTAAAAACACGGATCCGAATAGCCAAGCGATTGAATATTCTACAATCAATTACGATGCAGTCTTGATGTGTACAACGGCCCTGGGAAATCGGCACACTATTATACAGCTTTGCTGGCTAACCAGGTCATTGTTATATTGAAGGAACAGAGAAAACCAATAAATTGGCAAGCATGGGCTCGCAGTCAACAGACACTTGAAGTCCCCGACACGTTAAAACCCCCTCTTTGTAATTTTAACAGTGCTTAGGAGCTAGTCTGCAGTGCGAACGCCAAAGTGTGCTGGTACAACAGACCACGTTGCAAGGCATCAAAATAAATCTGGCCAGATTTCTACTCGCGTAGAACTCACGTCTCTATAAGCATGATCATATCAACGTTAGGGATACTAACAAGCCACTGCAAGATCCGATCAGGAACGTCCGAATAGGATAACTATAACGTACAATACTGCAGGGTGTGTGAGATGAGGAAGATAATAAAACGATCGAATACCTTTTTTGCCACTGTCTACTACGAGCTAAGGGGAAAATTGCATATGCAAGTCCAGGTCTTCGTAAAGCTCCATATAATGATACCTCCCTATATTTGGCATTTTGCTGATTTCAGCGACATTTTTCACCGCAATTGTTTCAAATTCGTATTTGTACTTTGTAATAGGTATTACAACCTGTAACAGAAAACTACCTATGCAGGTCCACGTCTTCGGTAACTCAGTATTTTTAAGTTTTTAACGGGTCCTCTTTTTTATTTATTTATTATTTTTTTTTTATTTTCTAAATACGCTTCAAAGTTCGGTTCGGCCGAACTTACTGCTTTTTAACTTGTTATATATGTCAATCGTTTGTATGAGAGGTACTAGAATTAGTGGACCGACATATCCCATTCTCCCACTAGATCTAGTGTTAGTGAATTGTTGTAATGTGCAATGTTGGCCCGTTGCAAGATGTATTAGGAGTAGTTATTCATATCTGACAAACTTTATATATTTCATATTGAGACAAATTTGAATCAACCTCTCGCATTCTAAACATGAGATGAGACGAGAATACCAGTTAGGGTGAACCTATATTCACCACCGTTGAAATCGACATACGTTGGGGAGAACATAGTTGGGGCTAATTGCAAGCCAGATGGACATGACTAGATTGACTCCATATATCCTGAAACAAATTTCGTCAAAAAAGAGGCAGGGACTAAAATTGTAAGGCACATTTTGGCAGTATCAAGCTATAAGTTTATACTCTCTGGGGGCAAGAGGGCTGAGGGTATAAAAATATGCTACCCTCCTTTTCAATCTGACCCAACCCAAGTAGTCGAACAGAATAAAAGGCACCAAGTTCTAATACACTGGATCGCAATGTGGTTTAAGGTTTAGCAAGTGCATATGCACATGTCACATTCCTAATCCACGAACAAACACGCTTTCAAGCTCAACATATGGTTTCGGGAAAAGTGCTGTTAAACATACACCGGCCAAAGTCCACAGTCCAAATGTTTGAAAAGGTGTTCAACGGAAGTTCGATTGGATTAGACATTTCTATGGATGCATGCGATGTGATTCACAAGAGTAAGAGCGTCATTGGCTGCACAGTTTTCTAAACTTACCGGAATAGCACCACGATGGCCATACTACTGTTGCTGTTGCGGCAATTGCTGATTTTGTTGTTGTCTCAGTATCGATGTCCTTCATTATAGTCCATATTTGCATGTGACCACAAAGAGCGCATTCACATTCCAATTCCAAGTGGAACGAACTGAACGGCTGACTGACGGTACAGCAGTTAACGGAAAAAGATCAATTGAAGCCAATTTGAATTCTGTTGTAGGTAGGTAGGGACCAATTGTGTCGTTTGCGTTTTTATATTTGCACTACTTCTTTGAATTGATTATTGAGGCGATCGCCAAAAAGAGCGGCCAAGAGAACGACAGAGCACTGGCGAGAGAGACGGCTCAAATGAATTTCCGTTTCGTTTGAATTTCTATTTTGGATTTTTTCTCGCTTTGTTGCTTTGTTTGTGAGGTTGATTTTTTTTCTTATTACTTTTTTGTATTTGAATTTTGACACTTGACACTTGGGATTCACATTCGTTCAGAGTTGCCAATTCGGCATTTATGCACAACTAAACATATCTACCAAAAGCAAATCTGTCATGCCATGGAACTGGAGAATTTCTGTGTTGATTTCCATTCGAATTTGTCGATTGTGTTGGTATTGGTATGACCACTGCTTCCACGGACCGAGCTATGATTTTGTTTCAAATAACTGAGTGTTTTCTGTTGTTGTTGTTGTTGTAGTCGTCGTTTTGTTTATTGAAATTAAGATCATTTGACATTTGCACACGATCTATAAACAATAAATGATGATTTCACAAATATGCACACAAACTACACAAACTTATTTGGATGGTGCGGAGATGGATGGTTGGATGGATATCTGTATGGATGTGTATCAAATGAAGTAGGTATGTATGTATGTGGGTATATAACACAGATAGAAGGGGCAGGAGTGGGGGAATGGAAGCGATCAGAAGTATTTTGTGGAGCACCGATTTAATAAAAAAAATAAAAAAAAAATGTTGATGTTTTGACACTCGTTCTTCAATTTACTTCTGCTCTTGTTTCTTTTTGCTTCTTCGACATTGCTTTTCCCGATTTGTTGTTGTTGCTTGTTTTTTATTTTTTGAAAACAAATATCTTGCGGCGAACGCAAACACATTCTGAGATGCACTCCGCTCCATATCGATGGGATCGCGCACACACACATACGCATACACGCACTCATCCATACATATGTGGAAATACAAATGCGAACAATGTGAAAAACTGAGAACGAAATTAACAAAAACACAAAATGCTTTATGAACGGTCAGAAGTGAGCAACTGAGCAGCGTCAGGCCAATACTTAAATGTGACACTTTTCGTCTGTTGTTTGATTATTTCAATGTGGTTCCTCTGTCCGTCCGTCGGTCGGTTGGCGATCTGTCAGTATGTCTGTCTGTCTGATTGTTCGATCCAATCGTTCATTTGTCATTTGTCGTTCAATTCTCTTGTAGCCGGTCAATATTGCTCAGTTGTGTCGTTGGTGCTGTTCGTTGTTACCCTTCCTCTTTGCAGTTGGCTGTCTCGTTGATTTGCTTTTGTATCGACGAATATGCATACATACGTACATATATATGAACATACACTGTGTGCACTCTCGCTCGCATTTATCGCGAGGTGTTATGACTTTTTGTATGTTTAACCTTTAAAGCGCATTATTCACCGTCGCGCCATAAAGTTCGGAATGTATAGATTTTCTGTTGCTGTTGTTGTTGCTGTAGCAGCAGCAGCAGCAGTTGCTGCTTGCCAGTCGTTTTTATTTTGTCGCATTTGTTTGTGGTTGACTTTTAAACTCAGTTTTGCTTCACTTTTTATATGACTTGGCTGCCATGAGTCGACGGACAGACCGTCGTCGTTAGGTGTGTTGTGTCGATGACTGTTTGAGGATGAAATTTGCATTCAGATTTTGTTTTGCTTTTTTCGTCTTGAACTTTTCGCCTGGCTCTCTCTATCACTAACTTACAGTCGGTGACGGTCGACTAGTGTCATTTGTTTGTCAACCGACTTCACGTTGTTCAGATATACAGCGTATTTATGAGACTGTATGTGTGTGTGTGCGTGTGTGTATTAACAAGTGTATTGATTTGAAAAATTAGTCGTTACACTTCATCTCCTAGAATATGGTGGGTTTTGGGGGGGTTTTCTCAAACAAGAACACCACCCCATGACTGCTGTGCGTAGCAGCACCCATACAGGCAAACAAACACATACACCAACGCCAACGCCAACCAACCCTCACTGATAACTTGTTGAATTTTTCAAAGGTTGCTGGATACCGTAGGGGTAAATGTTCTTGTTGCTTTTGTTGGAGGTTCGGATGTTGTTGTTGTTCTTTGCGTAATCTCCAAGTTTACAGTCACGTGCTTGGTAGTTTACTGTGTTTTGTTTTTCTCATTTGTTGTTGCTGTTGTTGTTACTAATATTTGTTTGGTGTTTTTTTTTTTCGTCACCAGCTGATAAGATACAAAACTATTTTTCACAATTTCATATCAGATTTTCTCGTTTCCAAAATTGTTTATTCTTAGAATTTCATGTCGTTTGGAGCGAACGCGCGTTTCTTATGGTTTGGTTATTTTTTCTCATTTTTTACTCATCACTATTGCAAACAAAAAACTACATACTTAAAATCAGGATCACACTTGCATTGTGACTGTTTTGATCGGTCGAACTATTAAAAATTGTCAAGTCTACAAAAATGTTCTAAAACAAGATCAGATTCTTCCTCTTCGGTGTGTTCTGGCTCATTCGAACTTCTGCGCTTAGGTTTGCCGTACACTCCACCGCATTATACACGCTCTCGGGCCCGCATACTCAAACGTACTAGAGAACACCAAAAGCAGCGGACAAAAATAAACCCCAACCTCAAGCAAATCAACACAATGTGTAAAAACTGTCATAACCATCGACGTCGTCGTCGTCGTCGTTGCGGACGTTGCCGTCGGAGACCTCGACGCAACAGCGTTCACCGTTGAACGATAAGAAAGCAACAAAACACAAACAGTCAGCCAGCCAGTAAGCACAGCGTGCTGTTGTTGGTGCCTGTTTGCGTTGGAGATAAACAAAATAAAGCAAGAAAACATAGAAATATGAACTCAAATTCACGGAGAGAACGAACCTCTTCGTCTTGTCAAGAGAGTGCAAACACTCATACATGAACGTGCGACCCGAAGAGCCGAAACCTCTGTGCATTCAAGTGGGCTCCCCTTCGTGAATTTGCTCCCATCGCCACTGCCAGTTAGTCCATAGCGAAACGAAAGGTTGGCCTCCATCAGGGCAACAACAAACAAACCGAACAAGTGATAGTTTTGTTTACATTGTCGTTTGGGAGAGTAAACAAGGCGCGAGAGTAACAATTAATGTTGCCAGCAGGTTTTGTCTACGGCGTTATTCCTAAAATTGATTTAATAATACCCAATATTACGTACGGCGGATCGATGTTTTTTGGGGATCAACACAGTGGTGATGCAGTGAACAGTCAAAACATTTTTGGAATTAAAATTGTTGAATGAAAAAGTATTTAAAATAGTTCGTTTTGTTGAAAAAGGTATATCTTAACAACCTCTGAGCGGTATCGTATAAGAACACGCGTAGAAAAATTGAATATGACAATATGGAATTTTATTGTCCACATTATTTAAATACCTTACAAAGTCAAATCACAATAGAGGACAACAAATAAGATCGTTGTCAAATTGGTGTTAAAAGTAGTGTTCTTGATGATTTTTGCCACATTTTCACACAGGATTTGTCTTAAAATGTGTATTTGTAGTTCGTAATAGGTTCTGGCTCCGGTAGCAGAACATTAAATATCTAGGTCCACGTATTCCTATAGCGCTCATATAACGGTACCCACCAATATTCGGTATTTACCCACGGAATTGTTTCAAATGTGGTATTAAAAAAGGTTTGGTAGATCCTTGAAGTATAAAATTGTCTATATATGTAGGTTCCCGTTTTGGTATGGCCACCATTTAGTTTAACTGCATTATTCAAACGGTCTTACTGGTATTTGTAGTTTAAAGTGGAACACGTTTGAATACGGACACTTTTTATAAAAATATTTCCTTTACCCAATTGTTTCTTTTTATACCATCCACCATAGTATGGTGGATATATTAAGTTTGTCGTTCCGATTGTAACATCTCGAAAAATACATTTTAAACGCCACAAAGTTTTTAGATCCTCTGTCCGTCTGTGGAAATCACTCTAGTATCCGAACGAATTGAAGTCGTTTGGTAGAAATTTTACTCAAATGTGTTTGGCTATATAGGTCCACGTTTTGGTATAGCCCCCACATATATTCGGTATTTTCATGATTTTAGCGACATTTTTCACCGAAATTGTTTCAAATTTCGTAATGAATGCGTACTTCAGCCTGTGACGGAAAATCTACGACTTCGCATAGCCCCCATAAACAGTACCTACCTATATTCCTATTCCTTATATTCGATATTTTGCTGATTTTAGCGACATTATTCGCCGGAATTGTTTCAAATTTGGAATTTGCTCTTCGTGTCGGTTACTACAGCCTGTGACAGAAGATTGCTTATGCAGGTCCAGATCTTCGTATATCATCCATATAACTGTACCTCCCTATATTAGGTATTTTAATGATTTTAGGGACATTTTTCACCGCAATTATTTCAAATTTCAAAATGATAGTTCATAGTGGGTACTACAGCCTGTGACGGAAAATTGGCTATGCAGGTCCACGTCTTTGTACAGCCCCCATTTAACGGTACGTCGCTATATTCGGTATTTTGATAATATTAACGTCATTATTCACTGAAGTTGTTAAAAATTTCGTATTTGAAGTTCCTAATGAATACTACAGCCTGTGACAGAAAACTGATTTTTCAACATATTTTTTTTTTTAATTTTCAAATTCCTTCCAAATTGTGGAGGGCATTCAAAGTTCGGCATGACCGAACTTACTGCCTTTTTACTTGTTTTGCTTTAAAAGTATGACATCAAACAATTTTGCGTAAAAATCGCTGCAACCACTACCTTAAACACCTTTATTATAATCTAATTGCAAAAGACATACAAATTTTGCTTTTTAAGATACATGCAAAAGAGCGAACTATATCCGAAACTGCAAAACTTACTTCTATAAAAATACATTCAGCAAAAACGATGATGAAATGATACAAACGAAATGGTGGAGTAATAACTAAAAATAAATATGAACGAAATACAACTACGAAACTAACACCACTTATTAAACAAGCGGAAAATAAACCAGAGATTACTCTCTAAGTAGTATAAGTCAGTTTTGTCGGCAGATGTAAGCTCTCGGACTGTGGCCGTTAATTTAATATATTTTGACGTGAGTTATGACTATTCAAAATGTGGACACTTTATAAGTGAGGTAACAAAGGAGTGGGTCGATATTACTTACCTCCAAACTCGATCTAAGTTTGGTAATACTATTATGATGTACATCGCTTGGAATCTGGTTACTCTCTTTGAGAGTTACCGCACCACCCAGCCAGACGGACAGACAGACACCGCTAGGCCAACTCAATAATTTTTTTGAAGTAGATCATACCACCTACCATCATTTGGCTTTAGATCAGTTATAGTTTAGTTTCAGAGGGAACCAATATATGGGAGGCATATCCGAGTCTGAATCGATTTTCACTAAATTTGACGGAGACATTTTAATATTTTATACCAAGTAACACTGCTATAGAGTGCAAGGTATCACTTCGAAAAGGATTGTATTAAAAATTTATATCGGAGCCGAGTTCTACTAAATGGAAACGTACGTCCCGAAATTCATTCAATTTGGGCTGATATTAACCGTTATTTTCAAAATAAACCTGAAATCGGATTATGGATATATATGGGAGCTATAGCTATGTCTGAACCGATTTTAACCAAATTTGAATTACTTGCTTTTAGACTGAATTTGGTCGGATGTGCCAAAATGCAGGTCATTTGGACTGATATTGGCCATTTGGTGCACCAGTATCCCGAAATCGGTTGAAGATATTTGTGGGGGCTATATCCAAATCTGAACCGATCTTGATATAATTTGGTAGAGGTGTTTCAGGCCGACACCTGATATCTGTACCAAACATCATTTTCGTGAGGTGCATATTACGAATGTGGGGGACTTAAACACCAAATCGGATGAAACCTATATATGCGAGTTATCGCTATATCTGAAACGATTATTTCCGAATTCGCTGTACTTCCTTCTAGACTGAATTCGGTCAGATATGCCAAAATTCCAGTCTTTTGGACTGATATTGGTTATTTAGTGCACAATTAACCCGAAAGCGGTTGAGGATATATATGGGAGTTATATCCAAATCTGAACCGATCTTGACAAAATTTTATTAAACTTATTGCAGAGCTTTATATGATATCTGGTACTAACGATCATTGCTGTGAGGTGCATATTACGCTTGTATACCCCAAATCGTGGGAGTTATAGATATATCTGAATCGATTTACATCAAATTTGAGCTACTGGTTTCTAGAATGAATTCAGTCGTAATTGCCAAAACTCAATCCATTTGGAAAAAAATATATATGGGAGATATATCCTAATCTGAACCGATCCCCAAAAAAATTGATAGAGGTATTTACGAGCAGTATCTGATGTCCAGTACCAAATATCATTCTTGTGGAGAGTAAATTACGCATATGAGAGACCCCCGCCCCAATCGGATGAAACATATATGGAAGCTATAGCTATATCTGAACCGATTTTCTCCAAATTTGATGTACCTTCTTCTACACTGAATTCGGTGGGATGTACCAAAATCCAGGTCATTTGTATTTATATTGGCCATTTGGTGCACAATTAACCCGAAATCGGTTGGAGACATATGGGAGCTATATCTAAATCTAATCCGATTATACAATTTTAATAGGATTCGTCCATAGGGCAAACAAATATTGTTTGTTTCAATCGAATAGTAATTGCGACTTGCATTTTGTTCACAAGAATACATGGACGGACGGACTTACAGACCGACTGACGTGCATAAATCGACTCAGAAAGTGATTCTATGAAGATCCTCAAAAGTAACAAAGGCGTGAAAATAACAAAATATGTGGTTGACACTCAACACTTTTTTTCAGCTGTACGACTCTATCTACGGAAGAACTATAAAATATAATTTGACTATGAAGAAATATGAAATAAAAAATTGTAATTGTCTAATTGAATAAGAACCCTTTCCGATTCTATCATGGAACAACAAAAAACTTCTACTTCCCCGTATTACCCAAGTATGAAGATATGGACCTCAAATCTAATAAATTTAAACATTTTCATAGTTGATAATTTTTAAAATTCTTACAACTGTATTATTTTCCACTTACAAACATTTAGATATTTTTGTTTTACGGCATAGTATTGAAAATGGAACATTTGGCCCGGTTAAGGGTATTTTCTGGGTTATTGTCATATTCTTCAGACGAATTCGATGTTAATAATTAGTGTTCCTAGAGAGCAGAATACAGCCTTGCCAAGAACTTTCCATATATGTCCTAATTATAGTATACGTCCCATATAACAGTACCTGCCGATTTTCAACAGAATCTTTCATACGGCACTGCGTTTTGTATAGCCTGTATTTTAGGAAACCCTTATATTCGGTAATTCGTTGATTTTAGCTAAATTTTTACATTGAATTGAAAACAACAGACTATGTACAAGCAAACAAAACTTCTAATTACATTAGGTAAGTACGACAATCCAACGATGTGTATTATTGCTTGTACAACAAATAATTCTTGTACATTAAATGAGCGCGAGTAAAGAGAGCTATTTTAATCAGGTGCAATGCAAACCATTGTTATACCCTCCACCATACATAGTATGGAGGGTATATTAAGTTCGACATTCCGTTTGTAACTCATCGAAATAATCATTTTAGACCCACAAAGTAAATATATTCTTTATCAGCGTAAAATTCTAAGACGATTTAGCCATGTCCGTCCGTCCGACCTTTGTAATCACGCT